AGAAAGCATTACAGTCACCCATCAAGCACATTATTTTATCAACTGAAGTTATTGAAGTTCCATGATTTGGTAGATTTCAGTATTTTATCAGTTATGTATAGGGCTCAAAATAACACATTACCATTAAATATCCAAAGAAATTTTGTAAAAAGACAAAGTTGTTATAATCTTAAGGTGATAGAAATATTTGTCAAACCAAAATTCAGAACTAGTCTGAAGGGAAGATCTACCTCAATCCAAGGAGTTGGATTGTGGAACGGTCTAGAGAGTGATGTGAAAAACGCCAAGTCAATGTGCACATTTAAGAAAAAGATCAAAGCTGGATTGTTAAAAAAGTATATATGAAGTAGCTTAGTGTGTGTTTTGTATTAGAATTAGAAAAATTAGAAAGAGTTATTCATTTTGTTCTGTTACTTGAAAATTATTATGATTGAAATAATTGTTTGAAAAAAGGGGCAGATATAATAAGATTTTTTCTTCTTTCTGTTGCCTTTCATTTTAAATCTTTTGTATCTTTTTTATATTGTTATGGAATTGTTTTGTATTTTTTAAAATGAATAAACTTTATACCATACCATACATCCGGTCCCCTGCAAGACTGAATGATCAAATCATGACATCACTTATGTCACGCCCCCTGACAACTGGAAGTGTAAAGTTTTACGTTGAACGATCCCTATCTGACCCCTGTTACCTGATCAGCATGATAGTGTGTCCAGTGACCGAAGACATGATGGTGTAACTTGCTTTCTAACAATGACAGTTTTGGGTGGAGCATGTGGGCGGCACGGCGTGGCGAAGTAAGACGTAACGCCGTCGCCATACTTTTGGCTCTAAATTCCATAGTTTTGAACCGAGGTACACCAAAATCAGTATGATTGTTCATTATCCACCCTTTGAACAGGAAGCCATGATAAGTGGCCAATAGCCTCCACAGCACCCCCTAGAATATTTTAAAACCTCAGCCCCAAGCCATTTTTGGACCGATAATTCTGAAACTCGGTGAACATCTGTATCTTCTCAGGACCTATGAAAAAGTCTCTTGGACCCCTGGTCCAAAACCAATAGGAAGTCGGCCATTTTGGATCAAAGGGTCATTTGTGGGCATTTCTAATGGCGAAGTTTAACAAACTACTACAAGGATCTTTGAAGGATTGCCTTCAAACTTGGTTGATATGCCCTTAAGACATTGGAGAGTAAAAGTTATCTAAAGCTTGCGTTTTCATATATGTTAAAGGGGCGTGGCCAGGCCTCAAATTTTAGCTTCACGCCATAAATTTCCAAACACTAACTTTCACATTGAAAGACCGAAATGCACAAAACTTGGCATGACTCATCCCTGTTGGATGCCCGACGATCCACTGTAGTCAGATTTTGATGTCATCAAAGCCCTGCCCCCTCGGAACAGGACGTCTCTTTTTTTAACTTGGAATGCTCCCTCTTTGACACCATTGACATAGTCAGGATGATCCTGTGTTAGAAGACAGATAATATGGTCTGACTTGATTTAAAGCGCAAACCGTTTTTGCTTGAAGATGTGGACGTGGCGGTGTGGCGAATTAAGAACAAGCAATACGTTTGGCTCTAAATTGCACAGATTTCAGCCGAGGTGCACCAAAATCACTATGATCAATCATTATCCACCCCTTGAACAGGTATCCATGATAAGTGGCCAATAGCTTCCACAGTGCCACCTACATTATTCCTACAGTTATAGCTCTGTGATACAACATCTGATCTGCACCAGATTTATTGTGCGTCATCAGTGAGGACTTTTAGACACATTGATATTGTGGTTTAACATATGACTCTAGTGCACCCCCTAGATTATTCCAACAGTTATATCTCAATGATACATCATCCTATCCGCAACAGATTTTTGGTGTGTCATCTGTGAGCATTTCCAGACACACTGGTATTGTTGTTTAACATTTGACTCGAGTGCACCCCCTATATTATTCCAAAAGTTATATCTCAGTGATATATCATCTGATCTGAACCAGATTTGGTGCTTCATCAGTGAACATTTGTAGACACATTGGTATTGTTGATTCATGACATCACTTAAGCCCCATCTACTCAGAGAAAAAAACTGTTGATTATTGGATAACACTTCCAGCTTCGCACTGTGTAAGATATTAGACTGAAACTTTGTTTACTAACTGTTGATTACCATACAACATGACATGTTGAAAAGCATAAAGGAAGTGCTTGTCAAACATTCGCCACAAAACAGGAAGTCACCATTACTCATGTCTGACAGATCAGATTTCTCCTATACTTGTAAGACCTGCAGCTGGACAAGTAACGACATGGATGGAAGGCGATGTCGAAGATTCAGGAAATGTGTCCCATGGTGAACGCTTGCGGGATTGGCACGAGAGAGTTTGCGATGGCGACTGGGTGGACTAGCTGGAACTCCCACGGTCGCCGTAAGGTCGGAGCGGCGCTTTGCTGCGAGGTCCTCCAATGCTGCTTGCAGCTTTAATTTTATTTGTTCTTAAAAGTTTAAATGTTCTTGCCCCATCCAACCTTTCTGAGCTGCTTCACCCATACTCTCCTGCTCGGTGCCTCAGATCAGCTGATCAGCTGCTCCTGGAGGTGCCAAGGTCCAAACGGAAGCTCAGAGGGGACAGAGCTTTCTCTGTAGCTACTCCAAGATTATGGAACAATTTCCCTCTTCCCATCAGACAAGCCCTTCACTGACCACTTTCAAAACTCTTAAAAACACATTTTTACTCACTGGCTTTTAACACAGACTGAAATTTGCTCTGCACTGTTTTTTATTGATCTTAATGTTTTAACAACTGTTTTATTTTTATGCATTTAAACATTCTTGATTTTATATGTACAACACTTTGTTACAGTTGTGGTTTCTTTAAAGGGCTTTATAAATAAACTATTTTTATTCTGCTCTCAAAAATCATATACTGTAGATGTTCAACTATCACGTCCTGTTTCAAAAATAGTCTACAGTGATCAGTGTTCATGTGCTCATTTGTGAACCACCCTTTATTAGTGCGCACAATCTGATTACAACTGATTATGTTTAAAACCTGAGGATTGTTTATGGCATTTTGTTTCACCCCTTTAACCTAAACTGGCGTGTCACTAGATTACTGGCACTTCAAAAATGTTTGTAATTTCTTGGGTGCACATCTAAAGTACTGTACATTCTGCAGAAAATGCAAATGCATCATAATAAAGCAAAAATGTTCAGAGAAAGTTCGCAGTGTCTGGTGTTTGCACTTCTTGTTCAGTTGGTTCCTCAAGAGTTTATATTGAAAGCAATATATAATCGCT